CTATTAAGTCCAGGAATATACCTTTGAAGATATCTAGAGAATGGTTTGACCATATATCATATTAAAACTATCATTGTAAAGCTAATTTAACAAACCTGTAAAAAATACACATTTCTTGAGGTTTCGGGCTCATTGTGATGTCATAGAAATAGAAACGCTCATTTTTTGGTGATTTTACAAAATACAAATACATATCATGTGCTTTTGTAGCCTAATAGTATTGGAGATAAACTATTTTGTGTTTATACATGACTGAACACAACACTAACATGTATTAATATATCAGGCAAACAATATCATTGTGATTATGATGTCATTATGCAAAAAGATAGAGGCCTAAATCAAACACATGTATCTAGTATCCAGAATTTTAACAAATCCAGATATTGAATGAGAAAGGTAGAAGGTATTTTTGGGCTTTGATACTGATCAAAAGCTTGCATATTGAGCTTTACGGATGCACTGGTGTTTTTTAAGATTTTTAAGCAAAAAATTATTTTAATCGTTCGTTTCCATAGTAACAGTTTATATTAATCATTATGAGATCATAATGACATTGGTACCATATGAAAGCAAAAATAATTTCTGGTATTTCTAGAAAAATATGCAAACTATTCATTATGATTAATTTTGACCTTAAGTTTACATATTTACAATGAAATAATTGTAATACAGCATGGTGTTATATATATCGGGTGTCCCAAAAATGAGACACTTTTTGACAAAGTATATTCTCGGCAACCACATTCACTGAAAATGTGTACAAAGTAGCCCAAGAGTATCATTAGCAACGTATAAAACTATGAAAAAGATCAAGTAAATGTGAGTACTAATTAATTCAACGTAGAATGTCAAAAGATCCCATACCGGAGCAACGCACTGAGAACTTTATATCGTTTGCACCAAAAAACGGGAAAAAATTTGACGAGTAATTTCTCAGGAATAGATGAACCAAATTCTTCTTCTGCTAGCACCATGAATATGTAAGAAATCTCTCATATATTATGTGTGTATTTGTAAATTAAACACAGTATGTCAAAACATCCAATATCAATGTAAAAGTTACTTATTAACCCATTTCCAAGCAAAAATACTTTTCCGTATTTATTCTAACAATATCATCTCCAATGAATTTTGAGAATAAATGGATTTTGGATATTTTGGAAGAATGAAACAAATTAATTAGTCATGCCACACAGACAAGCTATTTTGACTGATCACAGAATATTTGGTTGATCTTTTTTAGATTTTTACAACTTGCAAATGATACTCTTAGGCTACTTTGTGCAAATTTTTAGTGAATTTGGTTCATCAGTTGCCCAGAAAATACTTGTTAAAAAGTGTCTCATTTTTTGGGACACCAGATATATATTTTTACTATGAAGTGATGCATTATGTTAGATCTAGGTACATTTATTTACTGTTGAAATCAAAATTAGATACTTTACATGTTGCACCAATACTAAAATTGCATTTCATGCCATAGCATAGTTTTGCCCGATGCAAGATTTATCAAGACTTACAGACTGTGTAATAGGTCAGCACCAAGGCCAAAATTAGAGAAATATTGTGTGACCTAGGTCACTCTAAGTTGGTCCTGGCCCTAGAAAAAGAAATTGAAAAGAGAAATTGGGCCTAAAGGTGACGCCCTCTACAATTTGACCTCATATTTAAAATAATGTTTAATATTTATTTCTAACACATAAGAACATCACAAATACTATCTAGTAGCTTAAATTGACCAGAGTTAGATTAATTTGTGTATTTAAAGAAGTATTTATTGGTGAAAATTATAACTCGAGGAAATATAGTTGATTAACCCCCTAAAACGCAACCTATTTTAAAGGGGGGATTAACATTATACTCTAAACCTTTTGTTTCATTTAAGATTTGACTGTCAAAATAATTTTCATCATTGAAACACAATGCTAACATTGACATTTTTAAAGGCCCCATATTAACTTTAAACTTCTTTGGCTTATATTGTAGTCTTACCCAATGTTCAAAGTGTGATATGTGAAACCTATTTTTTAAATTTCAAAAAGTGTTTTTTGAACTTTCAGAGGTCGCGAGTATCTTTTAATAAGAGATCATTCACACCAATGCATAGCAATCATCCGCACGTGTTTTTTTTTAAATTGGCTCGTAAATAACATTTGATATTTATTCTTGAACTAGTGTGTCCTTTGTCCAATCCTTGCATTGGTATTTCTTTTACAAAAAAACTTTTAGATCTTAGCCAAATTCATCATACAACTCAACTTAGCCTTACATACATTGTTCATGTGAGGTCAAATGCTTTTTTTATTTAATTAGATTAATTTGGGACATTTACTAAAGCACCACAAGATTTAGATAACACTAGGGTATGCAAGGAAATCATTAAGGGCTACCAATGAGGGCTATTAAAGCACCACCAAGTCATACTATGAAAGCATTGAGGGAATAAGAATACTAGTGAATCATGAAGGGGCATTTAGCACCACCAAGGCATACTAGGGAATTATTAATGACTATTATTGAACCTAAAGAAACTATTTAAACACCACCAAGCCACACTATGGAATCACTAAGGGCTATTAAGAAACTAATTGGGGCTATTTAAGCACAACCTGAGCATACTAGGGAATCACTAATGGCAATTAAGAAACTAATTGGGGCTATTTAAGCATAACCTGAGCATACTAGGGAATCACTAAGGGATATTAAGAAACTAATTGGGGCTATTTAAGCATAACCTGAGCATACTAGGGAATCACTAAGGGATATTAAGAAACAAAATAGGGCTATTTAAGCACAACCCGAGCATACTAGGGAATCACTAATGGCAATTAAGAAACTGAATCAATAAGGGCTATTAAGAAACTAATTGGGGCTATTTAAGCACAACCCGAGCATACTAGGGAATCATT